CGATGATGGTGATGATGATGGTGATGATGATGATGATGATGATGATGACAACGACGGCAGCAGTGATGAAGGACTAACCCATATCTCCCGTGACCAGCACATCGCCCTCAGACGTCATCATCTCTATCCTCACCGTGTAGCGACCGTCAGCCGTGAAGCGGGTGAAGTAGCGGGAGTAGAGGCCATCATCTTTGACTATGTCCGCTCCTGACAAAGGTAGCAATACACCAGAGATAATTGCGGCAACATACCACCTTATCTATCTATCTATCTATCTATCTATCTATCTATCTATCTATCTATCTATCTATCTATCTATCTATCTATCTATCTATCTATCTATTTGTCTGTTTGTTTATCTATCTATCTATCTCTCTCTATCTCTCTCTCTATCTATCTATCTATCTATCTATCTAAATATGGACTATCCTGGTTCAGAGATTTGGAAAACAAACAAAACAATTCTACGAAAATTTAGAAGCTTCCAAACAAAAAGTGTACGAAGAATTTTACCAATAAAATGGAATATATTCATTACCAATAATGAAGTGCTGGAATGAGCTGAAATTGAAGATGTCAACAAAAACATAAAAAGGAGAATAAGGAGATATCTTGGACGTTTTTTAAGAATGCCGAAGACACTATTGCCCTTTCAGACATGGTATTGGAAACAAACCGGAAAAAGAAAATGAGGAAGACCAACTGAAAGCTATAGAGGTACAAAAAGGGATGAAGCAATCACCCAAGGCCTGGATTTGCAGAAATTGGAGGACGTGGCCAGCCAGGAGGGACAGACAAGTGTGGCGTCGACTGCACTCCGCCTTATGTACCCGACGGTATAGGGACAGAGTGATGGTTCAGACGCCATCACTATATTATGTCCAGACGTGCATTCACCAAAGCCATTAAGATAAATATAAAAATATGTAAAATATACACCTAGAGGCATCTTATAGCTTACTGTTTTCCTATGTCGTTTCTTTATTGCTAGTTTTTAACGGAAAAATAAATACAACCTATCAGTGTCCACGACATGGTTAAAATTTGTGCGCTCTTTTTTCTTCAATTTTCTTTTTAAAAGAATAATAACATTTTTTTTAAAAACCCGTCTGAAAAAGACTTCTTCGTTTGCGAAATATCGCTTCTTTTTCCCCATAACGCACTCACCCGCGCCCTGATCAAAGAGCTCCAAAGTGACAGGCTCGGCGCTGGGGCGATCTACAGTGGCCACCACCTTCAGATTCTTTACTGGACGCTCCCCGCGAGTGGCCTCAGCCACGATCCGTGACCGGATGGGCCAAGTGTCGTTCTGAACCAAGATGGATCCGGTAAAGCGTAGGTGCATTCTGTCATTGCTTACACTCGAGGACAAAACCATGATGGACACTTTCTCTCGATAACTCTTCTCGTTGCGGATGGAGTAAGACCAGCGGCCATTCTGAAATGAGAAGGGAAATTATATTTAAGAAATGACCCGTTAATTTTCCGCTTTAAAGATTACTTACGTTGTGCATACCGACCGACCATTGATGTCCTATCAGCAACAGACCAAAAACAATGTTCCTGTATACTTCGAACCATTATTCGCAATAAATGAGAAATACAGATCTGCATATTTCATAGAAAGCGCTAAAAGCCTTTGTTATGGCTAATGCCATTTTATACATCCCGAAATCAATCAGCTCTCTCCGATAAGTAATGAAAGCTCAGGTGCAGGCAAACGATAAACCTTTCATTTCGTGAGATTCACGTTCCAGCTATCATTTCTTTTTTCCTCACCTTTATTAATTTTTAAAAAGTTTACTTATAATAAAAATCTAATACATCCTTTTTAAAAAGCACCACTACGCAGGAATCGAACGTATTTCTTTCGAGTGTGAGGGCGTATGCTCCTAACCACTACACCACCAACGCTGATGCTCCACAATGTATGATCCCAAAACATTCACTGACCTCAGCAGAGAATGGGATAGTTATTTTAACCCGTTTGAGGAACGGGTCGTGTTCGTATTCTGGGTATAGCGAGCAGTAGATTCGATCAGTCGGTGACGTCACTCTGATGGTTGGAAGTTGGTCTGTATAGGTGAAGATAACTCGTGTTCGTTTCCCCAGGCTTTCGTCCACTAGAAAGCTGCCTTGCATTACCGCCCCTTGTTTCAGGATTGTGGCTTGGCTCATTATCTGAAACAGTAATAATGGTTATTAGTGTAAATGTGATCAAAACCTATAACAATGAACATAATATTTGGTTATTTTAATAGCATACTTATTAATTTAACGAAACTCAAGTTCTTGCAATAGCACAACTCAATCTATTGTGCGCTCAGTAATAATAATAAGGTAAGAGTAGTAATAATAATAATAATAATAATAATAATAATAATAATAATAATAATGTGTGAACACAGCTCTAGGTGCTTTAC